TTACTTCAGCAGTTCAAAGGTCAACAGACTTGCTTCTCAGGCACAAGAATGGCCAGCTCCTTGGTCAGTTTCTCAAGAGGAATCTGGAACCATGGCAGGATTTGGAATAAAAAAATTCTCCAATGATTGTGGATGCAGTTTTTTCGCTATCCTCACAGGTGGGCAGTTTCATCTCCCTGGGCAACACTTTCCCTTTGAGTGTCTTTCAGGACATCGTAATCAGTCCCAGGGACTCCATTTGGGGAGAAATGAAAGTAAGAGTCCTAAAGCACTTTGGCCTCTCTAACACCATCTGCTACATCTTGCATGTAGTCTATGTTTATGACTAATAAAAATAACAACCACAAAAAGACTACTGAACCTACACATTTTAAATACACATATGTATGTTCTTGAGAAAGACACAGGTACGTATTCTGCAGCATAGCTATTTTCCATGACATTTTGTGTTTGGAAAACATGATCTCACCTGATTCTCCAGGGTTTGCAGCCTTTGCAAGTGCAAGCATCTGGTCTACCACATCTAAACACAAACATCTCATCAGGAACTTCCCTGAGACCAGAGCTTCTCAAAGTGTCCTCATCCTATGAAAGCCTTTGTGTCCTTCCTTAGCTTGTCTCCAACTTTTCATGTGTATTTTGCTTTCATTTACAAAGCTGCTTGGCGCTGACCAAGACTTCTGCACAGGTCACTGCTTGTCTTCTTCCTGCTTGTGTATTTGTGATCCCAAGTCATGAATGCAGGGGATGCAGGCTCATCTGGAAGAAGTGTGCAGATGTGTCAGCTGCTCAGCTGCTCAGATGTGTGAGATGTTTGTTATTTTCACATATTCAGTCATGAATGCTCTCATATGTCACTTAATCTCTAGCACTTTTATGAGCCAGTGTTATGGGAGACAGATGTAAATGAAACAGGTAGTGCTACAACTCCTTAATTAATACTAGTATAAAATGAAGCCAGGTGCATTGTTTACTTCCTCATAACATTTTATTTTATATTTTTCAGTTTTTGCTGTTATTACTTCATTTTGCTTCATGCAATGTATATCACTGCTCTCTATACTAATAAAAATGCTTTGCAATATTTTTCTAAATATAATTGATGTATATATCATAAATTGCAATGTATTTAAGTCAGTTTGTCTCCTTCAGTATGCCTTTATTTTTCACTCCCTTTTCTTTGAGAGATTCATTGGTCTAATCCAGAATGTTATGTAAAATTTTTATATTACATTTATACCTTCACATCTTGAGTATCTGACTTAAGTATTTACTTAAAATCATTACATTTTATATTACTCAGCAATTAGTAAATTCATAGTGCATTATTGTACTCTGATTCACATATACAATCTGTGGGTATTTAATGTATTTGGAACTTAGTATCAATTCATGAACCTCTATCAGGAAAACAGAACAAGCACAAAAAAACAACCTCATGCTGCACCTCAAGCTTCTAGAAAAGAAGAGGAAGTCAAGTCTAGAACCCATACAAGGGAGGAAATCATAAAGATCAGACTAATGCAACTAACACAATTGAAATTAAGAAAATATTACAAAGAATTAATGCATTGAAGAGTCGGTTCTTTGAAAGAATAAATAAAATAGATAAACCCTTATACAATCTTATCAAAATGGGAAAGAAGAGACTCAAACTCATGCAATAGGGAAGAAAAAGGGTGAAATCACTACAGATCCTGTGGAAACTCATAAGATCCATACATACTTTGAAAATCTTTACTCTCATAGGATGGAAAACAATGGACAAATGAACAGATTCCTAGATATAGACAAATTACAAAAGCTGAATGAAAAAATACAGAAATTTTTAATAACCCCAAATCAGTCAATAAAATTGAACATGTAATTAAAATTTTACCAACAGAGAAAAGCCCAGGTCCGGGTGGATGCACTCCTTAATTCTAAAAGAAATTTAATGAAGATTTCATACCAATACTCCCCAAGCTTTTAATGAAATTGAGAGGGAACAGTGCTCCCTAACTCATTCCTGAAGGTGAGTGTTACGTACCAACACAAGAGAAATTTCCAACCAAAAAAGAGAACTATAGGCCAATATGCCTAATGAACATAGACCCGAAATCCTCAGTAAGATACTAGCAAACAGAATGCAGTAAATCATCAAGAAGATTACACATCATAACCAAGTGAGATTCATCCCAGGAATCCAGCGATGGTTCACCATGTGCAAATCCATAAATGTAATACACCATCAACAAAGCTAAAGACAAAATTTGCGTGATCCTTTCAATAGATACATAAAAAGCTTATCACAAAGTTCCACACTCATTCGTGAGAAAATCAGAAGAGATGGTCCCTATTTCAATCTGATGAAAGCTATCTATGACAAATCAACAACCAACATGGACAAAAACTGAAAGATTTCATTTTAAAATCAGGAACCAGACAAAGATGCCCAGTATTACCACTTTTATACAATATAGTTCTGGAAATACAAAACAGAGCAATTAAACAAGGGAGAGGAATGAAAGGAATAAGGATAGAAAAGGGAGAAGTTAAATTAGCATTATTCACTGATGACAAAATACTCTACATAGAAGAACCGAACTCCACCAGAAGACTTGTATATTTGTTTGTTTTTGTTTTTGTTTTTTCCAGTACTGGGACTCAAACTTACGACCTTGTGCTTGCCAGGCAGGCACTGTGCTGCTGAGCTAAATCCCCAGCCCCAAGACGTGTATATTTAATAAACAAATTCAGGAGCATAGCTGGGTGCAACACTCAAAAATAATAGCATTCCTGTACACAAATAATAAAGTCACTGAGAAAGACATTAGGGAAACCACATCCTTCACAATAGCAGGCAAGTAAGATACTTAGGAATCTATCTAACAAAGAAAATAAAGGATCTACATATTGAAAATTACAGTACTGTGAAAAAGAAGATCTAAGAGGATATCAGAAAATGGAAAAATATCTCTTGCTCATGGATAAGAAGAACCCATGTAGTGAAAATATCCATACTCCCAAAATTGTTATGCAGATTTAGTGCAATCCCAATCAAAATATCTTTAGCATACCTCACAGAACTAGAGAAATCATGCTTAAAGTTCATCAAGAACCAGTAGAGACCTAGAATAGCAAAGGCAATCTTGTACAACAAAGGCAAGGTAGGAGACATAACAATCCTGGACTTGAAATTATACTGTAAGGCTACTTTGATAAAATCAGCATCATACTGGCAAAAAACAGCCTTCAGGACCAGTGGAACAGAACAGAAGATGCAGACAAAACTACAAACACTCAGCCACTTTATCTTTGTCAAAGCAGCCAAACATGTTCACTAGAAGAAAGATAACCTCTTTAATAATTTTGCTGGAAAAACTGGCTCTCTACAAGCTGAAAACTTAAACTAGGTCCATGTCTATCACCATGCACTAAAGTCAAAATGTTTCAAAGGTCCAAATATTTAAACAGAAACAATAATTCTACTGGAAGAAAAAGTAGGTAGAAATCTTGAAGACATAGGGGTAGGCAGAGAGTTCATGAACAAAACCCAAGTCGCAAGGGAAATATTTCAAAGAATCAACAGTGGGATTTCTGCACATCGAAATAGATCACTGACAGAGTGAAAAGAAGCCACAGATTGGGGAAAAATTTTAACCAACTGTCCCTGAGAAATTACTTTAAATGTAACAACATATAATGCAGTAACTATCGTTATTCTTTTATTATTTGTTATGAAAATTGTTTTATCTTTTTTCTATAATAAAAAAGCAAAGCAAACAAAGAAACACAAACAACTACTCAGTCTTTAAAAATAAGGACCCATCATTGTGGATAAGGTAGATAAACAGAGAAGATTTTATATTAAGAGAAATGATCCAGCAATGAATGAAGAAATACTACATGATCTTATGTGTATGTGGGATAAAGTCAGGTGTCCTTAGAAAAGCAGAGTGCTGGTTACTAGTGACTAGGGCCTGGGGTGTGCTGGGCAGTGATTATCATTTCCTTGTAGGTAGTAGGAAGTTCTAGGGACATACTTTAAGTCATGGTAATTATAGTTACTAACAATGTTGCATTCTTGAAAATGGCTAATATCATGCTAAACTGTTCGCACACACATACAAGTATATATAAAACCTGTGTATATAATTCTATTTCTGTATATATAGGATGTATTATGTATTTTAAACCAATATTCTCATGAACACACACATATGTATGTATATTTATGCATCAATTACAATTGAGGAAAATACACAGGCTTCACTGGGTTTTTTTCATCTTTCAGACAGCAAAGTTTTCTCCTTGCGCCCTATGGGACCGCGCTCCTGTAGCTGTTAGGGAAAGATCCTCCAAAGCACTCAAACTCTCTCTGCATGGCAATGCCCACAGAAACTAATTGTTTCTGGGAATTGGGATCTGGAGAGAACTTATTCACTTTTTTAGTTGTTTTTTACAGTCATCTTGACTGCCTGAACATGCACTGTCATGAAAAGTACAGGTGAAGTGGTAATTGCGTTTCACTGGGAGTTGAGATCACACAATCATGATCCATATCTTGGGGTCTGGCCACCTGCCTCCCACACAAGCAGGAGGAGAAGCAGGAAGATGCTGGGTGAGTATTTTCTATTGTATCCTCTGAAATAGAGGCTGTGAGAGAACGAGCTGATTCAGGGTCTGTTGTGTTTCAGTGAGTTCTCATGTCTGAAAAAATGATTCATCTGTGGTGACAGAGACACACAGGGAGGAGGGATGATTTAAATTTTAAAAACACAAAGTATGTAGTTAGATATATTAAATATATACCTGAGATATTTTTTAATTAACAGTATTTCACAGCAATGCAAAGAAAATTACCTTTTAATATTTATGAAACACAATTTAAGGAATATAAATGTGCATAATTTTGAATTCATTTCATGTGAAATCTTTTCCTCATAATATCTGTTTCCATACAGAATCCTACATTTTGAATGTTGATATGAACCCTGCACAATAGAAGAATGACATCTATGGATCTGAAATTTGTAATCCTCTTCCTTTTTCCCATTGTCATAGGAAGCCTGGGAAATTTCTCCCTTTTATGGCATTCTATCTGCCTTTATTTCAGTGGGTGCAGGTTTAGGTCCACAGACTTTATTCTCAGGCACCTGACAGTGGCCAACCTCTTGGTCATTCTCTCCAGAGGAATCCCAGAGACCATGGCAGCACTTGGGATAGAAGACTTCCTCAATAATGTGGGATGCAAAATGGTTTTCTATCTTCAAGCAGTAGGAAAGGGTGTGTCTTTCAGCACCACCTGCCTGCTGAGTGTCTTCCAGGCCATCACCATCAGCCCCAGGAGCTCCAGGTGGGCAGAGCTGAAAGTGAAAGCCCTAAAGTGCATTGGGCCCTGTCCTGTCATTTGCTGGGTCCTGCACATGCTGGTAAACATTAGAGTTCCTATGCTTGTGAGTGACAAAATGAACAATACAAACATCATAAACACTATAGATTACCAGTATTGTTCAGCTATGATTTCTAGCAAAGACAAAATCTCCATTTTTGCAGCATTGAGATTATCACATGACATTTTGTGTTTGAAACTTATGATCTGGAGCAGTGGCTCCATGGTTTTCGTTCTGTACAGGCACAAGCAGCGAACTCTGCATATTCACAGGCACAAAATCCCGTCAAGATCTTCCGCTGAGACAAGAGCTTCTCAAAGCATCCTCACGTTGGTCTGTGTGTTTGTATCCTTCTATGTCCTGTCTTCCATCTTGAATGTTTGGTTTTCTCTTTATTATGAAGCTTCTTGGTGGCTTGTTAAAATTTCTGCCTTAATCTATGCTTGTTTTCCAACTCTTAGTCCCTTCCTTCTCATGACTCATGAACAGTGTGTATGCAGGTTCATGTGGAAGAAGTAAATATGCATCGCACCACATCAGACTTGTGAATCATTCTTTTCCCGTCTTCAATACTGCATGCAGACATTTGTCCTAAAGACCAACACACAGTTATAAGCGAGTGTTATTGTACAATTAGGCATAAAATGATAGCCAGAGATTTTTTTAATGAATAGTAATTCACAGCAATGCAAAGGAAATACCTTTTAATATTGATGATTAACATAATTTTATTTTAAACTTGAAGGTGTTTTATCTCCTTTCTCAGTTTCTTTCTTTCTGCATGTCTCACTGTTTGTGTTCTTTCTTTGTTTTTTGTGTGTTTTTTTGTGTGTTCTTTCTTTGTATTTGTCTATTCTGTGTTTCCTGTGTTGAATACTTTTATCTCTCTCAATTAATTACATATTTTAATTCACTTTAGTCAGTGAAATATTTGTAATTATAGAATCACTATATATTTAAGTGTGTTTTGCTGCTTTTAATATCCTTTTATTACTTCCTCATTTTATAGTTTTGGATTCGGTCATTTATTCTTGTATTGCAGATCCAGGTTTTTATTTTATACTTCAACTACAGTCTCATGACTATTTTGTTGAAGTAACTGTTTTAAAAATTCATTATGTTTGGTGACAGTTATCTGTATTGATTATTCTAAACAATAAACCTTGTTTTAATGTCAATGTTCTGTCCACAGTCTTGAGACATAGCTCAGTGGTAGACCCCTTGCTTGACACGTGTGAGGTCTTGGTTTCCACCCTCAGTACTGCAAAACAAAATGTGGTCATGAGACAAATACAAGCACACAGGCACACAGCTCTTAACTTTTAGCTACTTGACTGTGGCATGACGGACATTCAGACTCTGAATGTTTTAGTGTGCCTAACTGGGTGTACTTTGAAATAAGCACACATGTGACACTGTCTTGAAAACCAGTGCCCTTTAAATTGGAAACTATTTGTAATCTTGTCAATTTGAGTAGAGGAACTCAATTTAGACTTGTAGACAGAAGAGATATGCAATAAATCCTTATCATTGTAGCAAGTGTTTGCTGTAGAGTATTTGTATTTTCTTTGATTTCTCATTTGTAATCAATGAAAACCTCTCAGTTTTGTGAAGTGTGTTACCCAAGATCATTGCTGTATTCCCACAGTGTCATTGCAAATCCTCTGCTCCTTCCATATCTGCTCCCTCCACCCTCCCTTGACATAAAGATCCATGTAAGTGTATAATCACCATACAGTTGATATTAAAGATCTTTTCAAACATCAAAATTTATGTAAAATTTACAGATCACCTCCAAGAGATCCTTCTTGACCCGTGTTCACTTGTTGTTTGACTTTCCTTCCTCTTGTGGTAATAGCAAATAAGATCCAGCATCATGGTAAATTTTTACTCACACAATGTCGTGTTTTCAATCATATATCATACAATATTCTTCAGAAATTTTATTTCTCCACTTTTGTAGGTTTGATCATTGTATAGTCTACATTCATGTGAGGTCACCCAGGATTTTTCAGACTTTCTTTATTTGCTTTATTTTGCCTAGTGTGATGGCCTTGAATTAGATCATGTCTGTATCTGTTACAGGGTTGGCTTGCCTTCTAAGGCTTGATATTAGGTTCACATGTACAACACATTTTCCTTATCACCTCTCCTTCAGTGCACATTTGGATGGCTTCTGCGTGTTTTGTTTTCACATGTTTGTTTTCGAATTATTTCATAATCACATTAGAGTAAAAGTAATTCTTTGAGATCTCAATTTTCATTCTTTTAGATACACACAAGGAGCCTTGATTTCTGGATCAATCTCCAGGAACATTTTATAATTTTGGAGAAAGTCTCTGTCATTTTCCACAGCCACAACACTAAGATGTAAACATCCCCAACCCCACACAAGTGCTATCTGCGCCAGCCTGCTGGCTCCTCTGTGTTCCTGTGCTGACCTTTTTGGTGTTGGAATTGTCATTTTTCCTCTGCATGTGACTGGTTAAGAGAGGCATAAAAGTTTTGTAAAGACTATGGGTTTTGTTCTGCTGTTCACTATGGAAATTTTGGTGAGTCCCTGCTGAGGTGACTGCTCTCACTCCTTGATGTTTTATGTGATGTTAATGACCTGAACCAGTGATTTTAAAGACTTTTTTTAAACTGATACAAAAGCAGAATACAAAAGCAGGTCACGCATGCATGGGAACAATCTGACATCCAAATCTTCTCCTGAGTTTAAAGCCAACAATTTCCTCATTCCCTGCCCATTCCCTTGAAGTCCTTTTCAGCTCCCCAATTCATCCTGCATGTCTGTAGGTTCTCTTTAGTGACCTAAATCTGGTGATCATGGGCATCTCTGGAAGAAGCCTGCAGGTTCCTCATCCTGTTAGGTCCTCAAGTGATAAGACTCCTATGTACAGAGCTACACTGACTGAATAATTTCTACATGCTGTTTGAAATTTATCCATATTTATGCATATTGTTTCAGATCTTTTATAGCACTAAACTGTGTTGTTCTCATGTTTCTGCTATTTACTTCTAAAAATTTTTTCAGGATGGAATTCTACTGTGAGTACATCAGAGAGCTGGTCATTCTCATGTTGATGTACTCATGTTTCCTTTGGTGCTATGGGTTGTAAACTCTGAAAAATACGTTTCTTCCACGTGTAAATTTGTACTGTATATATGCACAGTGGCGTGGTGGCTGCATTAGTCTTTATATTAGTTGAGCTTTATGTGATACTGCCAAAAATTTTATAAAACATTTAAACTAATTGTCATACTTTCTAGCAACATACAAATTTCCTAGTGTATGTACATGCTTGCTAAGAATTACTATTTTAGGTTTATTCTTCTTGTTGCTGTAGGAAGACATGAGGATATGTTTTCATTTCCCTTGTTACTCAGGATGTTGGATAGATTTTTACATGTACTTATTCACTTCATCTTGTGTTTTAGGAAGAGTCTATTATTTTCCCATTACTGTCATGGTTACACCTAATTATGCTTACTGGTTTTAAGATTTCCTTCTATATACCAGAAAAAAAGTTCTTTCTCCATCTTCTCTCTGTCTCCATCCTTTCATAAATAAAAGTTATTAATTGTAATACAACATGACTTACCACTTCACTGTGTATTTTGAATCTGTCTTCTACCATTTCAAGTATCTATTCCTATTTCAAGTCCACAGGGAAGTTGTTCCATATATTCCTCTAAAAATACTGTGATTTGTATTTAAAATGAAGATGAGCATCTCATTCAGAATCAATCTCTTCTATGGCTAATGATCTAACTTTTTTAGAACAAGGTAACAACTTTCAGTTTTTTCAGAAAATGTCTGATTGCTGCTTCGTATTTGCTGTCTTTTTTCACTTCCTCATCCAACTTAGCCTCACCACATGCTCAATGCTGGTTTTACCATGAAGACTGTGTTTAATTTCTTATCATTGTTTATATACCATTCAGTTTGTACACATGCCCTAGCTGGAAACATTCAAAGTTACATTTGGAATGGAAAATTCCAAATTCCTGGCATGATCTCCTTTATTAGAATACTGGAAGAATAATGAGCCCTACTGTTTAGCACATAACTTATTTCTATAATACAAACATAAATGTATGTGTTTTATATATATGTGTGTGTGTGTGTGTGTGTGTACTTGAAAATATCAACAGAGATTTAATAAGTTGTAGGTTCACAATATGATATTTTGATATTTGCCTGTATTGTATAGTGGTCAAATTCACATTGAAGAGCCTACATATTCTTTCTTCTAGTCTATTTTATGTTTCTCTTTTAATATCAAGATCTTTGATCTATTTTGATTTTAATTTTGTGCATGGTCATAGACATGGGTCTAGTTTTACTCTTCAGCAATTAGAAATCCAGTTTTTCTAGCACTTGAAGAGGCTTGAAAAGCCTTTATTAAAGAGGCTATTTTTTATAAAATAAAAAGAGGCTTATCTTTATTAAAGAGGCTATGTTTCTTCCAGTGAAAGTGTTTGGCCCTGTTGTCAAAGATAAGGTGGCTGAGTGTGTTTGGAGATGTTTCAACATCCTCTAACTTTTGCATTGATCCTCAGGTCGAATTTTTACCAGTACCATGCTGTTTTCATCACAGTAGCTCTATTGAATAGTTTGAAGTAAGAGATTGTGATGTCTACCCCCGCTGCCTTGTCTTTGTTTCCAAGAATTGTTTCTGCTATTATATGTCTCTTCTAATTCCAAATGATATTTAGGAATGTTTTGTCTCATTCTGTGAGGCACACTAATGGTATGTTGACATGGGTTGCATTAAATTGTATAATAATTTGGGGAATATGGCTATTTATTTATTTATCATTTTTAAATTTACAGTATGACCATTTATACTATGTTGATCCTTCCTACCCAAGAGCAAGTGATGTCTTTCCATTTCCTGATATCCTCTTTGATATCCTTTTCTTTTGTCTTTTTGAGACAGGGCCTTGCAGTTCAGGCTGACCTTGAGCTCATTTTGTAGCCCAGGCTGGTCTCAAATTCACAGTATCCATAGGCCTTAGCCTCCTGAGTACTGGGATTACAGGCACACACCACCACACCTGGCGTGATCTCCTTTATTAGAATACTGTAACCTACAGATCTTTTACCACCTTTTGTAGATTCATTTCCCAGTATTTCATTATTGTCTCTGCTGTTATGAATGGTATAGTTTCCCTAATTTCTCTCTTAGTGAGTTTGTTATTTGTGTACAGGAATGGCATTAATTTTTCTGGAGGTAAAAGTGTATCTTATTATGCAACTGAATCTGTTTATTAAATCTAGAAGTCTTTTAATGGACTTTTTAGGGTGCTCTATGTAGAGTGTCATGTCATATGCAAATAATGATAATTTAAATCTATTCTTTCCTATTTTTATTACTTTCATTTGTTTTACTTGTGTAACTGTGCTGGTTAATGTTTCAAAACTACATTGACTTTTTGGGTTTTTTTTTTGTTTTGTTTTGTTTTGTTTTGTTTTTTTTCTGGTACCGGGAATCGAACTCACGACGTTGCAC